AAATATAGTTGATGTTATCGACTGATGGAAGAGAGTCAGAGAATGAGACGAAATTTCACAAAATCGTCATTGTCCGATATCGACCAAAGTTTGCAAATAAGCTCTTTTTTGCAAAAAAATATATTTATAAGAATGATTTTTGACGACTCGAAAGAAAATTTTTTACCATTCTTATGTCACTTCCTATATCATCGACAAGAAGCAGTATACTGTGCAAATTATTCTGAACACATAATCCGCATTTTTGGACCCACAGAACATATCATAAACAGCATAAAATCATTATTAATAAATATATAGTAAATATGTAGCATATTAATCAATAAAATCAATATTAATTAAATTTTTACGAAAATGGAACAAGTGGCGCCATCTCTTCGACAAACAGGGTGAAGTACATACGTTTGAAACTGTAGTTTAATTAGTTCGTATCTTCCGCCTATAGATGGTGACACATAAGACAGAATTTGACTGATTACGATTAACCTAAGAATGGTTAAAAATTGATAATAGTTTAGTAAAGTCAAAAGAATTCGAAATTAATTGTTGTATGTATTTAAATATACACAATGAATGTATTTTAATTAATATTATAGTCAGTTAAGCTTATAAAATCAAGTATATTCATTGAATTCAACCGGGAACGGTACGCGTCGCGCCATGTTGCGGCAGAGTGGAGGAACTAATGAAACTATGGATTCAAAACCTTGTAGTTCACCCTGTTCGCCGGAAAGATGGCGCAACTTATTAATTTTTAGTGAAAATTCGATTAAAATTGTTTTTTTTGGCTTAATTTATTATAATATGCATCAAATTACGTCGGAGTGCAAGACTAATTAACTTCGGAATGTCTTGACTTTATCAAAACATTATCAATTTGGCTTCTGTTCTGAAAACTTATTAAACCTAACCTAACCATCGCGATTTAGAGCATGACAGTTTTCCGAAGAAAAACCAAATGTTCTAAAGACAGCTAATACTGTCTCTCAATGCAATTTGTCTTATATTATTATTAATTAACTAGAAAAAGTTAATATTAATAGTATTCGTTCAAAGAAGGCACAGTTGGCGCCATCGAACAGTAATTAACAAAACTTTCAAAATAGAAAGATGAACTCTCTTACCAAATTAGTAAATTTTTCACTTTTCGGAAACGAGCGTTACATGTATTTCAACTTCAGAGCTAAAAAAGTGTTATGGTAATACGCGAAAAATGCTCGAAAGAAAATTAAGAATATTTCATTTTATGGACTTCGAAAAGTTTTCTCATTCACCAGTAAAAAGTCTGAAATAAAATCGATTTAAATAGCAAATCAATTTTATGCATTCATTAGCTATCCAGACTTGTTAACATTTTTTACGCAATACTTAATTAATGCTGTCTTCCACCTTTTGAATAAAAAAAATTAATATTTGTTAGGTTCGTTCAGAAACTGTTACCAACACTTAGATAAGATCAATATCTGTTTCACCATACTTTAATCTATAAATATAATAAATTTTTATTTCTATGGAATTAATTATATAACTTCATGTTTAAAATTCTCCTTACTTTTTCTGTAAAAACAAGTCGACTTATAAAAAATATTTTCAAACTAATTAATCAGTTAATCCACTAATTCGTAATTCAGAATTTTATTTTTAAATGGTATGAAAGTTAATTTATTTAATTAAGTTTGTTGGAAGGCAAGAAATGTAAATAAAAATTGTTAATTAAAGTACATGCCACTGGTTTACAAAATGCGTTATTTTTTATTTTCTTTCAACGTCTTTAACACGTTACGATGAAATTCTCTCGAAATATATCTAAATATTTTTATATTTTGTACTCGAGTAGTAGGTAAAACATTAAAATTATTTAACAAAGGCTGATTTTATTAAGATGGGTCATATTTCTGTTCAAAGACTGTGTAAAATATGATTAGCTGTGTAAAATATGATACCATCCCTCTTCTATGGATCCCAAATGCTCTCGAGGGTTGCAAATAAAAAAATATTGCAATTTAAAAAATTTTCGAGCACAAAGCTCTGATTCCATCCTAATACCATTTTTCTGCATGTGAATTAATTTCTAAGCATCAAGAAAACGTAAAAATTTCTTGTTTTATGTATAAAAACCTAATTCTTTCTTAACCACAAGATGGTACATTGGACGCGCGAAAATTCATAATTCAAAATATGTACACTTAAGAATGAGTTCTCCAAAATATTTCCACCATTTAAAACTACTTCTTAGTTGTATTTTATAAAATTGTAATACTTCCAAGTTTTTATGCTTGTTAATTTCCAACCTTGAAAATACTTCAAATTCTCCTCTTTCCAAATTCCCAAATTGTTACATGATCAAGTCCTGAGGCTTCTAAATTTTTCTAGCTTAATTTACAATGCTAATTTCCGGTGCTTACTACATTAACACCTTCAACCTTCTTTAATTCCTGAAATCATAGGTCTTAATCTTTACTGTACAAGAAACCAGTTAGCAAATTTGAAATTCTAACATCGATATTTTAAAACGTTCTACAATCACGTGAGGAATTTAATTGATCATTAGTATGTGATTTCAAGTTCAGACATTTATGAACTGTGATAAATAATAATAGCTACTTGACAGATTCATTTAAACAAAAATTCTATAACGACAATAAAAAAATAAAGCAGTAATCTATAATCTCTTCAAACATGATACGATTACTTTATGTACTGTATTTACAGTAGTGAGTTACTATTTATTAGGAACTTGAAAATTTCAAGATGTATGGATAAATTGATTAATCGACCGTAAAATGCTAATTTTGAGGGTGATGTCGGAATACAATGCATTGTCGATGGAATAATGTATAATGAACTATTAAAATTTAGCGAAGCAATTAATGGAGAACACTGCGGCGCAACAATTAGGCAAATTAACCAGAACAGTACATCTTAAGAGGGCATCGCCGTTGAATAAAGACGGAATAATTTTCCATCAAGATAACGCTGGACCCGACTTCGTCTACCAACGAATACTCAGAGAAAATAATTAGAAGACTAGAAAGTTTTTTTCGTAATTCGACTAAAACCGCTACTATCCTCTTAACCCGTATCCTTAACCTGTATCCTACATTCGTATCTCCTTGAAATCTACAAAAAATAATCTTTTCTTAAGAAAATCTAAGAATAAATTTTCGAAATTAACTTTTTATTTGTAATTAGTTCTGCAAGATTGAAAAATGGATTGAAGTTGATAAATATAAAAAAGAAACATAAAAATGTTTGCTGCTTGTAATCTTGATTTAAACGTTCCATTAACAATTGAAATTTTGACTTATTATACGGTTAAATAATTGTAATATAATTTCTGAGAGAGTGCAAATGTGATATAAACGTTAATACTGAAATCGATTGCATTTATTTTCATTTCTACTTTATATCCACTTGGACTTGCAACTCATCTGCATGTGCATAGAAATAATTATTAAACGCATCACATTATAAATGCGGACACTCATGTGACGCGATTACAGGAAATACACGTGATTGTACAAATAGAAAAACAGTATTAATACATTAATATGAATTAACATAGTTTGTTCGAACAATGGAGAAAGGGCTCCGTTAAAATTATACATTCTTATAAATATTTATAACTTTTTTTATAATTTTACAAAATCACAAATCGAAATGTGATCGTACACGAACAACCACAGCAAATCTTTTGAAATAACTTAATAATTGTTCAATGAAAAATTAAGTTATTTAATAAAAAATCATATGTTTATTAAACACTAAGTACTGAAACAAAAATTTCAATAATACATAATTTGTAGTTTCATAAATATTGAAACTTTAGTCACAATACGAAAGTATTTTGTCGAAAAATAAGTCCAGATATGAAAATGCAGTTTTAATCATCCCAAAGAACTCGATCATAAAACCAGCAACCGCAGCAAACCTCTCAATATAATTTAATAATTGTTCAATATTTATGAAAAACTACAATAAATTCGATATTTATGAAAAATTACATATTCATGAAAAACTAAATACTGAAACCAACATTTCAATAATACATAATTTGTAGTTTTATTAATATTGAAATTTTAGTCACAATACGAAAGTATTTTGTCGAAAAATAAGTCCAGATATGAAAATGCATTTTTAATCATCCCAAAAAACTCGATCATAAAACCAGCAACCGCAGCAAACCTCTCAATATAATTTAATAATTCTTCAATATTAATGAGAAACTACAATAAATTCGATATTTATGAAAAATTACATATTCATGAAAAACTAAGTACTGAAACCAACATTTCAATAATACATAATTTGTAGTTTCATAAATATTGAAACTTTAATCACATTAAGAAAGTACTTTGTCGAAATACAAATCCAGGCATCAAAATGCATTTTCTGTCATCCGAAAGAACTCAATCATGAAACTAGGAACCATAGCAAATCTGTCAATACAGTTCAATAATTTCTAAATATGAAAACATGAAAACTACATTTAATTCTAAACATGAAAACTACAAAACTACATTTAATTCT